AGACAAGTCAATTAAACTCTCAGGGTCTCAGTTTTCCTATTTGTGAAATGGGGTTAATTCTCACAGTCTCTGAATCAAAAAGAAGAGCTTTGGTAAGTTGTTATTGAAAACTGAAGAATATCATCTGATGTAGCTCTCTACTTACTAGTCCTTTGAGCCCTGTTTCCTCGTCTGCAAAACACAGATAATAACAGCACCTGCAGTTCAGGATCATTCTGGAGACGAACCAAAGCAACGCGTGTGGAGTGTTTAATGTGGGGCCGGCTCACTGTGCACGCAGAATCCATGTTGTCTCTTCCCCTCCTTCTGGCACTTCAAAGCTCGGTCACAAGGCAAGTTTGAAGCATTGCTGGCGAAGACTCTGTTATGAACACCCTGGTGCCTGTCACCTCTGGAGAGGATCTAAGAACTCACACAGCCTTAGGTCACCTGTCCCGTCCAGCAATTCACAAGCAGATATCTTTAAAGAGACAGCTCTTTGGCAAACTGTAGTGCAGACAGCAGCCTGCTCTGATCTTCCTCTCCTCCCTTTTGGGCCTCTGGTCAGGGCAAATGAGGACAGATGACAAATGGTGTGAGGCCAGCAGAGAGGACCCTCAGGGACTTGCCTCCAAGAAGTGGCTCTGCCCACCTGTGCAAGCTAAGTGGCCCCTCTGTGCCAGAGCATCTGCATCATTGAGGACTCAAGGTGAGGCCAAGCGGTCCTGCCAGCCCAGCGCTCTGTGGTGAGCCGGGTAGTCGCATGCTGTGACTTCTGTGCTGAGTAGGCTGTACATCTTGGCGTCTTAGATCAGCCTCAGCCCTGGGCAGTGCCTTGCCCTGGCTCAGGAAACCTCCCATCATCCCACATCGAAGCTTGATCTGCCTCTCGCGGGCACTTGCTTGGAGCCTTTGAGGCCTTCTCCCGATTCTACCCTCCTGGTCCCGTTTCCTCTCTATTACTCAACTGTGTGGGCTGCACTCAGAGCTCCACCTGCAGCCTTTCTCTTCTTTCCTCATGGTCCATGGACAATCCCACCCACTGCCTTGGCTTCCACCATCCCATCAGGCTGATGCTACCTGAATTTCTATCTCCAGTTCCCACCTCTCTCCTGAGCTACATGCCTGTATTTTTCCAATTGCCTACTAAACAGGTTCACTTGCATGTCCCATATGAACTCATTTTGGTTTACATTTGGAGGCCTCATATTTTAGGCGTGGCCTGATCCTCCAATTCAGGGAGTAGAACACGGGATGCGCCTAGGTCAATCATGCTTCATTCCCCAGATTACAGTATGTACATCTTAGGACTTTTGCAGGTCTGCTAGAAAAGAGGCTGTGTCCTTACCTAGTTTTGGAGTCGTGAATGTGAGGCTGGAGCTGCTGCAGCCACCTTGCCACCAGGTGGAGAGAATCTTTTTTGAGACTGGAGTCAACTCAGAGGAAGCAGAGTAAGAGATGTAAAGAGAGAAACTGAATCCCTTTGAGCTCTTGCATTAAGCCATGCCTGAGGCCAGCTCTACTTCTGGCTTTCTTGGTTGTATGAACCAGTAGATCTTCTTTTTGCTTAAGCCAGTGGAGCTGGGTTTTCTGTCACTTGCCATCATAAGAATTCTACTGGTGCTTGTACATCAGACCATCTAAGCCTGGCGGCAACTCCGCATTTGTTTCTTCTCATTTTCCTTGATTTCGCTTTGTTATTGCCAAGCTGCCTTCTGATTACTGTTGACTTTCCAAGTGGGTCTTCCCAGGGGAAGCGGATGAGCGTGATCACATATGTTCATAGACTTCCCATCCAAATAACAGGGTTT